CCCCCCCCCCCCCCCCCCTCCCCCCTGGACAGCCAGTCCCTACTGCTGGCTATTCTGCCTCTGGTCATTCTGTCAGTCAACCTGTGCTCCAGCAGCCGGGATATATTCAGCAGCCATCACCACAGGTACATTTGTTTTTCATCTTTGCCTCTCATTTAAGATTGGTTTTAATTTGCAAGAGCTTATTTTTAAATTCTTATGGAGAGAATTTGTAAGAGTGTATAAACAAGACATGTAGTTATCTTCCCTCCTCTGGAGATTTTCAAGCACCTGCTAGACAGCCACATGACAAATGCTTCAGTTGGATGATTTGGGACCTTTGAGTTTTTTTTCTGACTCTGAGAAGTGTGGGGTTTTTTTAAATTAGCCTAAGGAAAACAAAATAAGAAGTGTAAATGTACTATAGAAATAAAATGGTAGAATTTCAAGAAGAAATAGATCAGTTTGGAGAGAATTCACATCTTAATGATATTGACTCCAGTGTAGGAATATATTCCCTATCTCTATTTAGATCTTTCTTAATTTTTCTCAACAGTATTTTATAGTTTTCATTATATAGTTGTTGCATATATTTTATTAAATGTACACCTATTTAATATTTTTTAGGTGCTACTCTAAAGGGGATTGTTTTTAAATTTTATTTGCTTCTGTTAATTACTAGTATGTAGGAATAAAGTTGATTTTTGCATGTTGATCTTGTATCCTGTGGATTTTTAATTTAGTTATCCTAATAGGGTTTGGGGTTTTTTTGGTAGACAGCTTAGGGTTTTCTACATGCAAGATCGTCTCTACATACATGAATCTTTCCAATTATTATGTCTTTTTTCTTTTCATTTTTTTGTCTCATTGCCCTAGCTAGGACCTGCCATAAAATGTTGAACAGAAGTTTTGAAAGTACATATTCTTGCTTTGTTTCCAGTCTTAGGAGAAAGCATTCAGTCTTTCGTTATTCAGTGCAGTGATCTATAGGCTTTTTATACACACCCTTTGTCAGATTGAGGAAGTTCTCTTCTATTCCTAGTTTGCTGATGCTCTCTACCATGAGTGAGTTAAATCTTTTTAAATATTTTTTTTTTGCATCTGTTGAGGTAATTATGTGATTTTTCTTCTTTATTCTGTTAATAAGGTGACTTATGTTAACTGACTATTGAATGTTTAACTTTTAATTTGTGAGACAGGCCCCACTTGGTCATGATATATTATTCTTTTTATATGTTGCTAGATTCACTACTTGTTAAGGATTTTTGCATCTGAATTTATGAAGGATATTTATCTGTAGTTTGCCTATAATTTATTTAATTGCACTATCAGAGTGGTACTGGCCTCAAAATTAATTGGGCCTAGTTCCTTTCTCCTTTATTTTATGAAGGAGTTTGTATAGGATTGATGTTATTTCTTCTTCTTTTTTTTTTTTTTTTGAGTTGGAGTCTCACTCTGTTACCCAGACTGGAGTGCAGCGGCCGCTCCTGGCCCCCGCAGCCTCGACCTGCTGGGCTCCGGCGATCCTTCCCCCTCAGTCTTCCGAGTAGCAGAATTACGGGCACGCGCTACCATGCCCGGTTGATTTTTTGACTTATTGTAGAGATGAGGTCTCACTGCCCAGGCGGGTCTCGAACCCGTGGGCTCCGGCAATCCACTCACCTCAGCCTCCCAAAGGTGCGGGATTACAGGCTGAGCCACCCAGCCCAGCTGATGTTATTTCTTCTTAAATGTTTGTAGAATTTGCCAGTGGATTCATCTGTACCTGGAATTCTTTTGCAGGGAAGGCTTTTTAAGTTACTAATTTAATTTCTTAGTATATACAGACCTATGTCAATTTCCTATTTCTTTGTGGCTCAAATTTGGTAGTTTGTATTCATTTCTTTTATGTTGCCAATTTATTGCCATAAAATTTTTCATAATACCCCTTCTATCTTTTTGTTTATTTTGAGTCAGAGTCTCACTCTGTCACCCTGGCTGGAGTAAAATGGCACGCTCATGGCCACCCGCAGCCTTGACCTACTGGGCTCAGGCGATCCTTCTGCCTCTGCCTTCCAAGTAGCTGGAACCACAAGCGTGTGCTACCACGGCTGGCTAATTTTTTGATTTATTGGAGAGACGATGTCTTGCCAAGTTGCCTAGGCTGGTCTCCAACCCCTGGGCTCAGGCAATCCTCTTGCCTCCGCCTCCCCAAGTGCTGCTATTACAGGCGTGAGCCACTGTGCCCGGCTACCCCTTCTAATTTTAATATCTTTCAGACCTGTAGTATCTCTTCATTTATTCTTGATATTGATAATGTTGTTCTTTCCTTTATCAGTTTAGCTGGAAGTTTATCACTTCTAAGATGTTCTTTAAAAAACAATTTATGATTTCATTAATTTTCTTTGGGGATTTTATTTTCTGTTTGAAATTTTTCTGCTTTTATCATTATTTTATTCTACTTACTCTGGGTTCAATTAGCTCCTTTGTTTCTAGCTTCTTAAGGTAGAAGCATACATCATTTATTTTGGATTTTTTCTTTCTTTCTCAAACAAGTTTTTATTGCTGTAAATTTCTAAACACTGTTGTAGATGCTATCCACAAATTTGGGTATGTTGTGTTTTCGTTTTTATTTAGTTCAAAATACTTTTTCTTCTTTGTTTTTTGGTTTTTGGCTTTTTGATCCATGACTTCTTTAGAATTGTGTTCTCTAATTTCCAAATATTTTGCCACTTTCTAAATAACTTTATTGTTGTTTTATTTTAATTACATTTGGTCAAAGAACCTACTTTATGATTTCAGCATTTTGAAATCTTATCTTATGGCCCAGCAAAAAAGTCTCTCTTGGGGGATCCATGTACACTTGAAAAACAATTTGTGCTCTCTCATTTTAGTGTTACATGTTTCTTTATTTTGGATTTTTTTTAGGGTTTTTTTTTAATCTGTAATTGAAATTCATATGACATAAAATTGGCCGTCTTTGTGGCCATTTCAGTGGCAGTTAGTACATTCACAATGTTGTGCAACCACCAGCTCTATTTAGTTTCAAAATGTTTCAAAATGTTTTCATCACCCAACAAGGAAAAGTCCCATGGCTATTAAGCTACCCATTCATTCCCCTACCCCAATCCCAGTCACCAATCTGAGTTGTCTGTATGGATTTGCCTATTCTGGATACTTCATATTAATAAAATCATGTGATATATTACCTTTTGTGTCAAGCTTCTTTGAGGTAGCATAATGTTTTCAATGTTCACCCATATTGTGACATATATTAGTACTTCATTTTGTTTAAAGTATTAATAAAATGTCATTGTATATAAATATGTATACACACTCATATGTATAACACATAGTGTATACTCTAATCCATTAATGGAAATTTGTAATATTTTCACTTTCTTGCTACTGTAAATGCTATTTGAATATGTAGGTGCTTTTTTTTAATATCTGTATTTAGTTCTATTGGGGATATATCTAGGAACAGAATCACTGGATTTTATGGTAATTCTGTGTTTAACTTATCTGCCATGCTGTTTTCCACAGCAGCTGTAACATTTTACATTCCCTCCAGCTATGTACAATGGTTCCAATTTCTTTACATCCTTGCCAAAACACTTGTCTTTGGGTGTTTCTGATAGTAGCCATCCTAATGGATGTGCAGTGGTATCTATCTCATTGTGATTTTGACTTGCACCTCTCTAATGATTAATGATGTTGAACATCTTTTTATTGTGTGATGATCACTGACTGTCTGCATATCTTCTTTGGAGAAATGTCTGTTCAAGTCTTTTGCCTATTTTTTAAATCAGATCATTTTGCGTTTTATTGTTGAGCTGTAAGAGTTCTTTATATATTCTGTGTACTAGACCCTTATCAAATATGTGATTTACAAATATTTTTACTTAATCTGTAAGATTTTCTTTCACTTCATTTATACTGTCCCTTATTGCATAAAAGTTTTTCATTTTGATAAGTTCACTTTATCCATTTCTTTCTTTTGTCGCTTGTCCTTTTGGTGGCATATCTAAGAATCTGTTGCCAGAACCAAGGTCCTGGACATTTATCCCTATGTGAGTTGGGGTCTCACTGTGTCGCCCAGGCTGGAGTGCAGTGGCACAATCATGGCTCACAGCAGCCTTGACTTCCTGAGTTCAGGAGATGCTTCCACCTCAGCATCCCAAGTAGCTGATATTTATAGGCATGCATCACCAATATTTTTTTATTAATTTTTTTTTTTTTTTAGAGACGAGGTTTTGCTATGTTGCCCAGGCTGGTCTCAAACTCCTGGGCTCAAGCATTTTACCCACCTTGACCTCCCAAAGTGCTGGGATTACAGGCATGAGCCATTGTACCTGGCTGGAAATCTCTTTTATCTGACATTAATAGAATAGCATTTAAATGGGTGTCTTTTTCTATCCTCTTATTTGCAGCTTCTGTGTTTAAAGTGTCTTTTATATGTATGGTATATAGTTGGGTTTTGCCTTTTTATACATTCTGTTGGAGTGTCACTAGATCCTTTAAATTGAATATGATTATTGACGTGGTTAGAGTTAGGTATGCAACCCTTGTTTATTTGTTTTCTGTTTGTCCTACTTTAATTTGCTCCTGTTTTCTTTTCTGCCTTTTGTATTTTTTGAACTTTTTTAGTACTGTCTTTTTATCTAGAGCCCTTGTATCTTGTAAATGTGTGTGTTTTTCTAGGGGCTATTTTATGTACCTTCAGCTTGTCACAGCCTACTTAGAGTTAATATTGAAACTGCAAGTAAAATCTGGCAGTCTTGTGAGTGCTTCCATTTACCTCTCGCCAACCTTTTGCTGTTACTGCCATGTATATTGCATCTACATACATTTTATGCCAAATATAGTGTTATAATTTTTCCCTTAAAAGATATATTTAAACTAAGGGGAAAAGAATATGAGATATACACACACACACACACACACACACACACACACACACACACACACATATTCTAAAGAGTATAATAGATTGATAAGATCTGAATTCATGAATTTACCTGTTACATGCTGGTACCTCCTGAAAAATATAAGGAATCCCTTATATATTGTATCTTTTCTGCTGTTTCAAAGGCAGGAAAACTACAGCAAACTGGAGGATTCTTGGTTTAAAACTAATCCAGGAATTTTATGCCTGGCTTATTTTCAGATGAGATTGGCAGTCTTCGGTTTCCACAGATCTCTGTTCTTTTTAGAAGTAACCTAATCAGAGGGAGCTGGTGAACCCTTAAAGTTAACTTACCAACTTATCACTTATTTCTACATCACTGGATTCATTGTTTATTCTTTACCCCATACTAGGTCAGATTAATTTATGAGAACTTAACAACAGATATGAATAACTGAAAGGAAAAATAAGTCAAGCTAGTCCTACTGGCATTTTAATTTGCCTTAGAAATACAGTCATGCATCATTTGACAGTGAGGATACATTCTGAGAAATGCATCATTAGACAATTTCATCATTGTATGAACATCATAGAGTATATATACACAAAACTAGATGGTATAGCCTACTACAAACCTAGGCTATGTAGTACAACCTATTATTGCTCATAGAGTATAAACAGTATAGCATGTTACTATACTGAAAATCATAAGCAATTATAATACATCAGTAAGTACTTGTATATCTGAACACAGATACGCAAATCTAAACATAGAAGCCTAGAAAGGGCACAATAAAAAAATACAGCATAAAAGACTGGAAATTTTACTGGGTGAGTCAATGAGTGAGTAGTGAGTGAATTTGAAGGCTTAGAACATTATTGTACCCTACTATAGACTTTACAGACACTGTTTCCTTAGGCTACACATAATTTTTTTTTTTAACAGCAGAATCTCACTCTTGCTCAGGCTGGGGTGCAGTGACACAATCATGGCTCACTGCATCCTTCACCTCCTGGGCTCAGGCAATCCTTCCACCTCAGCCTCCCAAGTAACCGGGACGACAGACACATGCTACCATGCCCGGCAAATTTTTTTATTTTTTGTGGAGATGCAGTCTCTCTGTGTTGCCCAGGCTGGTCTCAAACTCCTGGATTCAAGCAGTCCTCTCGCCTCAGCTTCCCTAAGTGCTGGGATTACAGTTATGAGCCACCATGCCCCACTTATACTTATTTTTTAAATTTTTATTTCATCAATAATAAATTAACCTTGACTTACTGTAACTTTTTTACTTTACAAATTGTTTAATTTTTTAAATGTTTGACTCTTTTGTAGTAACACTTGGCTTAAAACGCAAGTACATTTAACCATTGAACAAAAATGTTTCTATCCTTATTTATAAGCTTTCTTCTATTTTTAATTTTTTTCTTTTCACTTTTTAAACTTTGTTAATCAAAAACTGAGCACAAGTTCACACATTAGCCTAGGTTTACATCAAATCAGGATCATCAGTGTCGCTGTCTTCCACCTCTACATCTTTTCTTACTGGAACGTCTTCAGGGATAGTAACACAAACAGAGTTGTCATCTCCTATGATGGCAATGCTTTCTTCTGGAATACCTCCTGGAGGACCTGCCTGAGCCTGTTTTGCAATTAACTTATTTTTAGTAAATAAAAGGAGTATACTTCAATAATAAAAAGTTTAATATAGTAAATATATAAACTAATAATATAGTTTGTTATCATTATGAAATATTTATATATGGTGCTTACTTGTCTGTGCTATGCTCTTTTCTTTCTTTTGTATTTTATTTATTTTATTTTATAGTTGTGGGGAACGAGTGAGGATTTACTACATAAGAAAGTGAATTCAGGTGAAGTTTGGGCCTCTAGCTGGCCCTCTCCCCCGATGGTGCATCTGGTGCCCTCTGTGTTGCCACATGCCCCCTCCCTCTTTTCTCCCTTCTCTTCTAGCATTGTCCAGTCTGCCAGTCTCACCCTTGTGCTCATGTGACCAGTGATCAGGGTCTGCTTATAAGTGAGAACGTGCAATATTCAGTTCTTTGTTTCTGTGATAGTTCATTTAGTATGATGGTCTCCAGCTGCATCCATGTTGCTGCAAAGGCTATGATTTTGTTCTTTTTATGACTGTGTAACATTCCACCATGTATATGTACCATATTATCTTTACCCAGTATACTTTTGATGGGCATCTAGGTTGGTTCCAAGAATTTGCTATTGTGAATATTGTGACAGTAAACATATATGTGCAGATGTCTTTTTGGTAGAGCAATTTATGTTCCTCTGGGTATATTCCCAGAAGAGGGAGTGCTGGATCACATGGAGCTCAATTTTTAGTTCTTTGAGAAGTCACACACTGCTTTCCCCAAAAGTAGAACTATCTTACATTCCCACCAACAGTATAGAAGTGTTCCCTTTTAACTGCAGCTGTGCCAGCACCTACTGTTTTTGTCTTTTTAATGGTATCTGTGCTATGCTTTTATACAACTGGCAGTGCAATAGGTTTATTTACACAAGCATCACTCACAAACCCATGAGTAATGTATTGAACTACACCATCAATAGGTGATAGGAATTTCTCAACTGCCTTATAATCTTACAGGACCACCATCATCTATGTGATGACATCATTATGTGGTGCATCATTGTATGAGAAAAATCAAAGATTGGAACCAGTGCAGCTGTTCATTAATGTGGGAATGGATATAATGGTTTGTTTATGCAATTAATGCAGTTTAGCAGTTAAATTGAATGAGTTAGCAGTACGTGTTTCAACAAAGATAAGTCTCAAAAACAATGTTAATTGCAAAAAGAAGTCTCATGAAATTATATATAATAGAGTACAAGTTGATTGTCCTTTATCCAACATGCTTGGGACCAGTAGTTTTGAATTTGGGTGTTTTTTTGGATTTTGGAATATTTGCATATACATAATGAGATATCTTTGGTATGGACTCAAGTCTAAATAACTTCATTTATGTTTCACATACATCTTAGACACATAGCCTTAAGCAATATAAGCAATATTTTACTTTTGTGCATGCAATAAAGTTTTAACTGGAACCTGACACATAAGGTCAGATGTGGAATTTTTTACTTGTAAAATCATCTTGGTGCTCACAAAATTTCAGATTTTGGAGCATGCCAGATTTTGAATATTCAGATAAGGGATAATTCACCTGTTCCATAAATGTAAATTTTCAAGATACTCAGCAATACATGCATGGATAATAGACATACAGTAAAAGTTGCCAACTACAAGGTAATGGTTTCTGTGGAAGGTAGAACAAAGGAAATGGAGTGACCTTCAGCTATTTCAGTAATGTTTGATTTTGTAAAAGACAGCAATCTGAAACAAATATGACAAAAAAATTAAGTATGATTGTTGCACACATTATGGGTATCTTTCTTTACATATACTGTATGCATGAATTTTTTAAAACCTTTTCAGTAAAATTTAAAGATAAGAAAATAAGTTTACAGATGGTTGGTGCTAGAATTATTATTCACTAAACTCTGATGTTCCTCACAGAAAAACATTTCTATTCAAGTAAATTTGATTTTTTACTTCAATATTTATGCTCCTAGATGCCAACCTGTTATTGTGCTCCAGGCCATTATCACTCCAGCCAACCTCAATATCGCCCAGTCCCATCTGTCCATTACAATTCACATCTCAATCAACCACTGCCACAGCCTGCACAGCAGACAGGTGAGTAGCGTTTATGATGTCATAGTCTTGGCCATGGGCATTGCTTTTTTTAATATTGCTTTATTTCAGTCCTACTATTAAGATGTTACCCACTCAGTCTGTAAGGATTTCAAATATATGCATACATATGAGCATGCAAACCAGTGAGATTAAAAGAGTGGGCAAATCTTAGCATCTTCCAGAAAATACCACATTAGCAGGTCTACATGCTAAAGGGTTGGGAGCTATAATGGGAAGATTTTACCAGACCAAGCAGTACATTGAGCAAGCTGCCAGTCATTATTGCCATTGTAGTTGAAGCTCATTTTGCAGCCCAATTATCTGTGGTAACAGCAGAAGAGAAGCAAGGCAAGATGTCTTCTGGGTGGCTAACCAGAAGCAAAGAACAAAACCACCTTTGATTGAGAACTCTAGCCTAGAGATGATCTTTTGCTGTCTTAGTAGGAATGCCTTTAAAAGGAGTGATGGTCTTACACATATTTCCTGTGTTTTGTTTTTCAGTTTATTATATAGTGAAAAATATTTTTAAACCAAATACAATCTAATACTAGACATATGAAATATATTAAAACTTAACATTCTTTTTATTTTGCCACTTCAAATTTTCTTTAAGAATTTGGTGAGCCGGGCTCAGTGGCTCAGCCTGTAATCCCGCGCCTTTGGGAGGCTGAGATGAGTGGATTGCCTGAGCCCGCGGGTTCGAGACCCGCCTGGGCAGCGAGACCTCATCTCTACAATAAATCAAAAAATCAGCCGGGCGTGGTAGGTAGCGCATGCCTGTAATTCCGGCTACTTGAAAGGCTGAGGCGGAAGGATCGCCAGAGCCCAGCAGGTCAAGGCTGCGGTGGCCAGGAGCGGCCACTGCATTCCAGTCTGGGCGACAGTGAGACTCCAACTCAAAAAAAAAAAAAAGAATTTGGTGAAAACAGCTGTGATCTCACTACAAAAACCTATTTAATGAACTTATTTCTCTATATGCTTCTCACCTAGAAGTGTATTTCTGTCCCAGATGTTTAATAAGGCATTTATCCAACCTTTCAAAACTCTAGAAGTTAAGGTAGAATCTTCTTATTGGTCTCTGCAGAGCTTTTTAAGTTGTTTATCACTATTGGAGGCTCTCAGACTGTGAGTGTAACTCACTGAGGCACCATAACCTCCATCTCCACTGAGGCAGTTTATTGCTCTTGAATTGTGTGGAACTCTGAAGGGTTACCACCTCATCAGGAGAAATATGTCTGCAGTGGCATGTCTGATGAGAAGTGTTCTCGCTTCTCCCTGTTGGTGTAGAATCTTCACTTTGCTAGATGTGATTCTTTCTTAGCATAATCCTGTAAAAGAACTTCCAGGTCCTTAATCTGTTACCCCTAGTTGCTGTCTTGTACTTGGTATACCAGTCCTTCTCTTTTTTGTATGTTGCTAGCCCTGTATTGTACATGTGACATGTTTTTCCAAAGGATATTGAATAAACATTGGTCATTTTAGCCAAGTTAGAATTTGTTCTGTGTCTCAGATATGACATCTTGTAGTTTCAGGTTTACCTGAAGTTTAATGATACAATCCATCTCAAGTAATATAATCTAGTATATGATCTGATTTCAAAAGACATTAAAAGTTGTTCTTTATATATGGGAACATTGGTTGTGACACTGCTTGTTAGTTTTATATATCTTGCTGTCTTATTATAATAGGAGTGATTTTTTTGAGTTTTCCTGGGCTTACATGACTGACTTTTAATATTGTTTTTGTCTGGATGTTTTTCTTCCAAAATTATAAGACAGATTATAGGTAATGTCATGATAATTAAACAGTTGCCTTCACTTTACTCATTCAAATACCTTGTGTGTGACCAATTAACTTAGTTCATTAGTGCACCCTATTAATGAGGCAAGCAGACATCCTTTGTCTTGTATTTGTGTGAGCTTTTTAGTTTTGTTCTTTTTTAAAATTTCTTTTTCTTTTTATTTATTATAGGAATGTGGGATACAAGTGAGGATTAACTAGTTTTGTTCTTTTCATGGCAACATTTTTATTCCTCTCCATGGTCAAACTGCCTATAAAATAAAAACTTTGGGCCAGGCACAATGGCTCATGCCTATAATCCCAGCACTTTGGGAGGCAAAGGCGAGAGGATTGCTGGAGCCTAGGGGTTCTAGACCAGTTTGGGCAACTTGGCAAGACCTCGTCTCTACAATAAATCAAGAAATTGGCCAGACATGGTAGCGCATGCCTATAGTTGCAGCTATTTGGAAGTCTAAGGCGGAAGGATCACCTGAGCCCAACAGGTCGAAGCTGTAGTGGTCATGGTCATACTACTGCACTCCAGCCTGAGTGACAGAGTGAGACTCCAACTCAAATCAGTCAAACTTTTAATTACAGGTTGGGACTGGTGTACAAATAGATCTCTGCAAAAAAACAAAAAAATTCCCACTTAATGGAAAACAACCAAAAGTGCCTAGTTGCTGGCCAAAATATCTATGTGACAGGCAGCATGTATTATTTATCAGTGATATTTTAAATTGTGGGATTCTCTTGAATGCTAGTTATGATAAGAAGGAGGGGAACAATAAATAAGTCAAATTGCATCTGGATAGTGCAGGTATAGAGAAGAGAATCATGTCTGAATAATTTTTGACATTGTGTTTGTCTCTTATGAATCAGTCATACTATAACACATTTTAACATGTTATAGTATAACACTTTTTAAATACTTTGTATTTTATGTAGTATTCTCTAACGTGCAGTTCAAATTAGTTGAATCTCAGTTTGAAGAATAAAAGAGAAATAAAACCTCAAAGCATCCTTATCTGAAAGGGAAAGAAATTTTGTTATACTAATAAGTATAATAGGAAATTTCCCTTTAGAGAAATGTTCAGCAGTGCAATGCCAACTATTGTGTTGAAACTTTTTAAAGAATTAATAGAAATTTGCACTCCTTTTAAAAAGTTCAGTCTAAAGACTTTTATAGTTGGCTGATGGTTATTTTTTATGTGAAAGCTTACAGAAAAAGTGTGCATATATGTTTGTGTGTGTCCTATTGGAGAAGTAAAATGTATTTTTTACAGATTTATAGCAATTTCTGTCTCAGTAATTTATGTTTTTATACATAAACAATACTTTCTAGGTTTCCTTTTTGGGTTTTTTTATTTCATTTCCCTACATTCTATTATTCCAGTCTAAATATAATTAAAAATAATTTTCTACATTCCTTACATTTTTATTTCTTGTCAAACAACACTTGCTTACCCTACAAAGTGTCAAGAAGCATGTTAACTTTTTTTAAAATCACATAAAAGGATGAAACTATTCAACCAAATAATGAAAGCACTGGTAGATTTGGAACTTTTCTTCACTGTGGCACAAATAATGTTTCAATATTAATTTAAAGAATATAAATTTTGGCAGCCGGGCTCGGTGGCTCAGCCTGTAATCCCGCGCCTTTGGGTGGCTAAGGTGAGTGGACTGCCTGAGCCCATGGGTTTGAGACCCGCCTGGGCAGCGAGACCTCATCTCTACAATAAATCAAAAAATCAGCCAGGCATGGTAGCGCATGCCTGTAATTCCGGCTACTTGGAAGGCTGAGGCGGAAGGATCGCCGGAGCCCAGCAGGTCAAGGCTGCGGTGGCCGGAAGCGGCCACTGCACTCCAGTCTGGGCGACAGAGTGAGACTCTAACTCAAAAAATAAAGAAAGAAAGAATATAAATTTTGCCTCAAATTAACAAACTCAATAGAATCAAATATTCTTAGACCAGATAGAGTCTGGGCAATATATATATATGAGACTTTCTGTTATTTTCTTTTTTGGGGCCAAGGAGGAGGCTGGGAAAATATCTCAAGGATCGAATGCTTTGGGTCTGTTATCCATGTGTGTGCCCATAGGTCACAATGGTATTGATCTTCTTGACAATACACTTTCATCTATTATAGGAACAGAATTGAAGTTAGTGCCAACATTACTGCTGGGAAATGAGTGTACTAGTTTTTTGTTATGAAGCTAAAACTACTGACCATGGTATTCGAAACAAGGTTCAGTAAACCCTTGTCAACAGACACAAAAGAAATTCTGGTCACATTTACAGGCTTTAAGACAATGCATTGTATGACAGGAAAGAACAACAAAATAAGAGTCAGAATCTGGATGGCCCTTGGTCGTTTTTAACTGGTATTAGGGCTATCACATAAATCCTCCGAGTTTCAGTATATTCACTTGTAAAGTATTACTATATTACTATACTATCTATCGAAGCTTCTGTGTACTTTAAAATTCCATTATTCTTTGTGTCTCATATGAGTCAATTCTAGTTCAGAAAGGTAGAATGTTAGAAAATTGGTTTGTAATAGCTTGGCAATTTATTATCAATAACTGGAGTCATGCAAGCAACTGTTTCAAAAATCTGGTTACTTGCCAGTTGCAGTAGTAGAGATTTATACTTTAATTCTTTATCATAAAATGTACTGTTTGACTACTATAACGTACACTACATATAAGGAGTTTGGTATCCTATAAAGAAACTTTTCCTTTAGATAGTAATTATGGCAGAGATTTTAGGTTTATAAAGCCCTGACTCTTTTCTGTGTAGCTGCTTTTGTTCTTATGACTCTGTTGAAAAGTTTGCAGCTTTACCATATATGTTTAATATTTTGCAATAATTGGCCTTGTTCCTGAGCTGTTGGATTCGGGGCCGTAGCACTGTCTGAGAGGTTTACATTTCTCACAGTGAACCGGTCTCTTTTTCAGCTGCTTCCTGACTTCTTTTTACTCAGGTTTCCACTGCTTTTTTTGCTTTTTTTTTCTTCAATGCTGTATTAAGATATATTAACATTTGCTTATATTTTTCAGTAATTGTAATGCCTTTTAATCATGCCTCATACTCAGAAACAAGAATTTGAATTTGAATAACAACTCTGGCTTAATATAATTTACCTTTTAAAAAATTGTGAAAGCTATTGCTTTAATTTCTTTTCCAAAGCAGATTTAGATGGCAAATTCAGTTTGGTTTGG